CCCCCCCTTTCCCCTCCTATGGAGAAAAAGGGCTTGGGAACATAGAAGACCTACGAAATCCGACTGAGCTTCGTTTTTGTCGTCCACGTTATGCTAAAATCTGAGAAAGAAATGGCTTATCATCTCTCGTTGCTTAGTGGTCAAACCCGGGGCGTTGTGGTGAAATCAGGCGCTCGAAATTTTCGAGGCATATACGACAGTTGTTTGTATCGTCTATAAAGCTTGTTCAATTGTCGTGCTTTTGATGAAAAACATATTTTCCATCAATCTTGAATAGAACTTGAGATATCGACAATAACAGGGGATGGGCGTTTGCCTGAAGTCAAAGGTAAAATTATTAGAGAGGAAATGGCCAACAAAGTTTTGTGACTTCCAAAGCTTGAGTGTTCTTGGAAACTGCAAGTTTACATTCTTTTTGTGCTCATATGACCTGTAATTATGCAGTTGCGAGCGCCGAAAACCTTACTAAAACTAAAACTAAACTTCTTTCCCATCCCCTCCCCCCTCCCCCCACCCCCGTAGGAACAGACGGTCAGGTGTGTCGAGTGACGTGGGATGACATGCTGTGCTGGGATCTGACCACCGCTGGCACCATGGCCACACAGCCCTGCCCAGACTACGTCAACGGCTTCAACAAAAACGGTAAGATGGACTTCCCGTTGGGGGATCGGAAAACCGATTGCCAACCGATTGATTATTTGTCAAACAGTACTTCTTCTTAAATGTTGCCAGGGAACTCTAGCGTTTACGACGCTTTCTTTCGATTAGGTATGTAAGTCTCCCATAGACACAATTTATATCAAATAGGAGGCGGGCTACTGACTATACTTCGCTACCTCAGAATCACAAAGTTCTAACTGACATTTTAGCCCGTTTTGAGTTACTAGTACCCTGAGATCAGAAACTGAATATTTTATTTGATCTATCTAAATTGCAAGATTATTTGAAATCTTTATCAAGATATATATTCAAGGAATTACCTTCGAAAACGTTTGACGTGAAGTGGAACTCAATATCTTGGACGTCAAATTTATCAAAACTAGGTACTGAGCAGATAGAACTTTGCAATTCTGAAGTAGCGACCTGTCAAGGCCAACCTGTTCTGAGAGAGATACAACATCCCAACAGAAGGGTAAATGTACTAAGAAAAAAATTCCCCGCTCTGATATTTTACAGCTTTAACCAGGTGGCACTATACAAAATAAACAGAGAAAAGCGCGAGGAAAAGCCAGAAACTGACTCCCTTATCTCGGTAACCCCATAGGTGTTGTATGCCTCAGGGTGGCCTGAAAATGGCGCGCTGGACGGGCAAAGCAGACACCTGAACCGTCAGAAATGTGGAAAATCGTTAACTTGTGATTGCTTGGTTTTCCTCCCCC